TGCACACACAGAATGTTTAAACACAGGCCTAACCACTTCCCACATCTTTTTACATTCAATGCTTACAACAGCCATATGAAGTAGGCATTACTATCAATACTTGCAAGGGAAATAGAGGTTTATAATAGATTAAAGACTTTGCCTACGGTAACACATAGTTCATAAGTGAGTCAGAAATTTGAAACCAAGTTTTCTGATTCAAAAGCCCATGGTTTTGAAAACTCTTGTCAAGATGGTATTGCGAGAATATGGTTTGAGCCCTGTGCCTTTGCTTCCAACATGTAACAATAATAGATAAGTTTTTTTTTTTGAAACGGAGTCTTGCTCTGTCACCCAGGCTGGAGTGCAGTGGCCGGATCTCAGCTCACTGCAAGCTCCTCCTCTCGGGTTCACGCCATTCTCCTGCCTCAGCCTCCCGAGTAGCTGGGACTACAGGCACCCGCCACCTCGCCTGGCTAGTTTTTTGTATTTTTTAGTAGGACGGGGTTTCACCGTGTTAGCCAGGATGGTCTCGACCTCCTGACCTCGTGATCCACCCAACTCGGCCTCCCAAAGTGCTGGGATTACAGGCTTGAGCTACTGCACCCGGCGAATAGGTAAGTTTTAAAAGAGGTGATATAAAAGAAAAGTGATAGTTGAAAACAAGATAAACATACCAGAAATAGGCTATAAACACAAAGTGAGGTACAGTGCACCAGATGGTGTCTGGAATGAGAAGCAAGCAAATCCTTGTATCTGCGAAGTAACTGGATGCCACATGTGCCCCACAGGGAGTAATAATCAGTACCCAGCTTACTGATTAAAACCTGAAGGTAAGACAAGAGAAAGCTGAACAACTGACTAACACCTCCCTTTCCTTGGAGCCATGGCTTGCATAGAGCTGCTTTCTCGGGGAGGCCAAAGCAAGCAGCCATCATCTCACAGTCACATCCTGGGACAGACTGCTCTTGGATTTAGTGACTAGATTTTTGATATCCCCATTAGCAGAGATTCTAGGCTGGGAAAGGAGAAGGTAGAGTGCCAACACTAAGACAATAGGACTGGAGCAGTGAAAGAGAGAGAGAGAGAGAGAATTTTCAAATCCTTCTCACTCCAGTTAAGCCTGAAAACCAAAATTCTAAGCCATGAGAGACTAATATAAAAAGGCACCGGCAAAATTTTAAAAACAACATTCAGTGAAGTTATTCCAGATGACATGAAAATAATAGAGCAGTTTCAGAATGACTTCAGAATAATCATGTCGGGATTTTGGAAGAGACAAGAAATAACATCAATACAATGTGTAACAAAGTAAGTAGAAATAAAACATTTGAAGTGTCAATGAGAATCAATTAAAATTTCCAGAAAAGAAAAATAGTGTCAAAAAAATAAATTCTGGAGTGGACATAGTCAAAAAAAGAATTAGCAAATGGGAGGATGGCTGAGTAATTCACCAAAAGTGCAGCACAGACAGATATATAAAATAGTGTGAAAGAGAATTTAAGAAATATGTATGATATATTATGAAACTTTAACATATATCTATTATGGAATTCCAGAAAAAGAGATTAGACCTAATGTTAAAAGAAGCAGGGCCGGGCACTGTGGCTCACGCCTGTAATCCCAGTACTTTGAGAGGCTGAGGCAGGTGGATCACAAGGTCAGGAGATCGAGACCCTCCTGACTAATGCAGTGAAACCCCGTCTCTACTAAAAATAATAATAATAAAAAAAATTAGTCGGTCATGGTGGCGGGCGCCTGTAGTTCCAGCTACTTGGGAGGCTGAAGCAGAAGAATCGCTTGAACCCGGGAGGCGGAGGTTGCAGTGAGCTGAGATCCCGCCACTGCACTCCAGCCTTGGCAACAGAACGAGACTCCGAAAAAAAAAAGAAAAAAGCAATGTTTGTGCTTATGTGGGAGCAAAATTGTGGGAACAATTTCAGGAAGATCAAAGTGTCTAGAAAGATGAACAGTAAGAAGAAGAAGAAAACTATACTGTTACTCTCTAGGAAAGTCTTCAAGGACCCATAACTTGTCTGGGACAATAGAATCTAGTCCTATAGATTCCTTTCTATAGTTTGATGTATCTTTAACCTAAATTGATCAATCCATTTGAAAGAATATGGCTGATATAATATTCATTCTTAAAGAGAAGGCACAATTTCACTGTAACAGATGTCAACTGCTACAAGGGTATAGAAGAGCCTGAAATTTAGTGACCAAGAGAATTGAAGAAGTCAATCACAGAGTGTCATAACCCTGGCACATGTCCAGGCTACTCTCTCATCCCTGTGTGAGCTCATAACTGCACGCACACACACACACACACACACACACATCACCAACCTGGTCAATAAGCAAAGGACAAGTAATCATCAATATGGTAATAAATATGGTAATAAATACATAAAACAAGCAGCAACCCCACTAGTGATATATTCTGTAAGAAGTGCTTGGTGTTACACTTCACACCATTAGTGAAACATTTTTTTCCTTGTTTTATTCAGAACGCTTATCAGAAGACTCTTCTTTTGTTTTATTTCATCTACATATTTCTTCAAAACTAAGTACATAACTTGAGGGAAAGACATTGACTTAAGACGTTAGAAGACTAAGCACAAGATATGTGTTTGTCTGTGAATATACGTTTTATGTATAGATAAGAGAAATTAGCATATATTAATTTGTGACCATATATCCACTGTTTCCTACGAATCAAATACATAATCTAGACACCTATGGAAGACTAACTTTATATAAGAAAATACACACCTTCTTAAAATCATGGCATTAAAATTATGTGATTTCAGTTTTTAAAAGATGCCTCTGTCTCAGCAGCAAATCAATAAGTAAATATGAAAAGAAAAGACAGGCGTTACCAGTTTAAGGTTAAATGTTAGGAGAACTAAGAAGTAGGTCTTTAGTTTTTCACAATGTATATACTTTCATTAGAGGGAAGCTCATTCTTTTGTAGCCTCTCGCCAAAGCCTAGTAACTTCCTGCATTGTGGTTAGACTTTATAACCAAGGAAAATAATAAAGTTCTCTTTAATTTTTGGTCTTTACATTCATTTGGAGGGAATAGGAAAGTGGTAAACATTTTTTTTTAAAATCTTTATACAAAAAGGATAAACTTTCAAAGGTCTAATCTCTTGGCCTTTCAAAAACTCTCAGCCACACCTTAACTTTACATGAGATATAGTAAAAGGAAAACCAAAATGATTTATATGTCCTTTCCTGACTATTCATATTAAGATAATAACCAAAGACCTTATTAACAAAACACGTTGGGCAATTATGATAAGATCACAATTTTTTAAAGCTCGAAAGATTCATGCAAATGAAATCTTCGACATTTTCTTTCAAAAAAAAAGGAAAGATTTTCACTTTCCTGCAGCACTAATAAACAGCTAGGAACTGTGTATGTGGGCAAGGGAGAATGAATGTAACAGGTGACGACAGCATAATGAACTTGTTCCCTTAGAAAAGGATTTGTCAGTCACATTTTGCAATTGTTGAAGGAAGCTTGTATCAAATCATAGAAATAGTTCGGAAAATAATTATTCTTTTTATATGTAGTTTTTGTATAAACCCAAGCCTATCACTTAGTTCTACAACACTTGATTTTTCCTTAAATCTTTGCAAAAGACAGCTAAGTAATGCTTCAAAATTGCCTTATAACTGAAAGCACATTCATTTTTTCTTAAAAGCTTTCTTCCCTTTGAAAAGTTTTGGAGCTTCACAATAACTCCAATATATTTTTTCAGTTTATTAATTTACTTTAGCAAACAGAATGTATAAGTCTCCAGAAACAAGAGCCTACTCTAGTATATTTTATTTTTTAAGTGAGTATACAAAATTTGTATTAAGCAGCTGCTCTTCAAAAAGTTTAAATGAATGTGACGCACAAAGTAACCACACAGACCTCTATATTTCATCAGATCAACAGTGTGAAAGCACACTTTTCACTTCGTCTCAGTTAGTAACATCTAACGCAGTCACCTTGTTAACTGCTTTTTTTAGCAAAGTCAACAACAGCAATAATATCTTGGCACTTAATAAATTGTAAAACTGAACCTGCATTTTTTGCCGAAGAAAAACATTTCTATTAACATTTCTAGGAATATTCTCTATAGGCTCTGATATTTTTAAAATAAGAAGCACATTTAAAATAGAATTATGACTACACGGGGAGTTAAACACAGTTTACACTCTGAGACATTGTTTTCCAGAAAACATAAGCCTGGCAACTTTCAAAATATTTGCACTGAAATAAAAACGACTTGGTATCATTTCAAATTTTTTTAAAGTGTGTAAAGTTTCAATGAAATATGAGCAAACAAGACAAAAAGAAACAAAAGAAGTTTGCGTGCCGCTTCCTAAAAGAAATTTAAACAATTCTTTGCCAGGAATAACATCCACATACTACAAGAAGGGAACTGTTGAAATCAAACACACTTACTTTTTAATATGTAAAGATGTACTTTTTTTTTTTTTTCCTATTTTAGGTTAAAAATAAGAGGACACACCAGTGATCTTGCTGGCAGTCAGATAACGCACAGGCCCTGACCCTTCAACTGGCCAGGAATTCTCACACAAAGCCTTTTCATACACACTGCGTTATATATTCCTAAGATAAGGCGGCAAAACATGAAGCCGGGGATAAGTGACACAAAGTCGAACTAAATGAAATGTTTACATATATTCTGTCACACCGTTGTTCCTTCATCATCTATCCCACACATGATTTGCCTAAAACAATGTTGATTCAAGTTGAAGAGAAGCATGATTTAAACAAAAGGACAATTTGCAGAAAAAGGACACGCAAGACAACACAAATACTGTATTTTTCTGGCTGCATCACCGAGATTAGTGTGAAATCAAGCAGAAACAAAACCATATCATCTAAGAACTTCTAAGAAATGCTTTTGCTATAATTTCCCTCAAAGCACAACAGATTTCTAACTTGTTTTACAACATAGCAAGTACATTTTAAATAAAATATCTGAAATCTGCACTCACCATGAAAAAGCAACAGTTGCGTAGAGTAAAAGTGTGCTATTTTCTGCCCCTGTTCCATTTCAGTTTTGCCTATGGTTGTCCAACACCCAAAAGCCCAGAGCTGCCACCCAGAGGCCCCTTCCACAAGCTGGCTTATTTGCCTGTCAATCTGAGTGCCGGCTTCTCTATTATGCAGCTGTGCACTTTGCTGAAGTTCTAATATAATTTCCATACGCTTCCCACCGCCTGAAGTAGGCGATTTGCTCTTTCAGTTCAATGAATACTCAAATCACTTTTCAGGTAACTGTAGGATCAAGCTTTAAGTTGTTCACCCTTGAGTTAAGGAGTTCTTGGTAAGAAGTGGGTGGAGAGAAGTAAGCTCACTACAAGGGAATTCAGAGTGTAATCAGAACGCAGAGAGAAACTTCCTCTTTTTTCCTTCCTTGCTAGGCTGAGCGACTAGTGCCTCTTTCACAGAACTTAGGAATGTAAAGGGAGGACGCAAAGAGGCCCCGCCAGACAACCCTTTCTCAATCAATTAGCTTGCAGCCATTACTTGTGACCTTAGGTCACACAGCATAAGTGTGTGGGGCGTGCCTTCGGGGTCCCAAGGCTACTTATTACAGCTTAGATCACCAAAACCAAGCAGACACTAAAATCTAGAAATGTTTTAATAGAAAATGTGCTAAAGATGTGACTAAAGGTAAACTCCAAGTGTCTTTTTGCAGTAACTACTATTTAATCCAGTCAAAGATTTTTTTTTATATTAAGAAATCTAAAACAATATTTTCCATGTTGATCAAACAGGATTTAGAATAAAGCAGTGAAACTTTTTTTTATGTTAAATTTCAAGCTGGGAATAGAGAAATGACAAACAATATATCATATAGATCACAGGATCACATATGTATTACTCATACAGCTCAGGTTCCAAGGTCTTGCTTGAGTTTTTTAAAGAATGCTGGTTTATTATATCTAATCGCAGAGTAGAACTACTGTAAACAAAGTTCTCTATGCTTAAGGAAATCAAAATAATATCACTTTAGGGGCTAGGAATAACGGTTTTAAACTCTTTAAAGATTACATACTATCTTAGTATCATAGTATGTTTAAATTCTCATTAAAACAACTATGAGAATCATAGTTGAGAATCCTTTTGAGCTCTATTTCAGACAAATGTTTTTTCTCTTTAACATTTCTTTAAATGAGAACTCAAAATAACAGAAAATAGGAGAAACACTACAGAAAAATCTAATCTTTTACAACTACAGATTTGTGTAAATTTCATACTGTAAGTTTTCGTATTCCTTGAAAACACTAAAAAACAGTAGCCACCACCATCAATAAATCAATGATACAGAAACATCAGGCAATTTTATTTCAAATTAAATCCATGCTTTTGAATAGTACCACCCAATTAAGAAGCACAGGCTTTTATACTGATTGGATTAGCCAGTCTCTTCCCTCCAAAATGGCTGTTACTCAGATATGGATTTGCCACACCCACGTTTTCTCACTCTGTTTACTTGGTGATGCCACAAGGCATGTCTGATCCAGCACAGCGCAGGAATGGCAATATTCCATATGGATACCTGGCCAACTCAAGTGTCTGCAAAGTGGGCACTGACATAAATAAAACAGATGAACCAAAAAAATCCAAGAATAAATAAGACAGGTGTAAGAAAACAGTGGCCAAATAATACTGTCTGAGGGATAGAGTCAATTTTAAAAACTGCAGTAACAAATAATGTGGTAATAGGAGTGTTGAAATCAGTTATGGGTGGGAGTTAAGGCAGAAATTAAGAGTTTCCACTTTCTCCAATATACAATAGGGAGTTATTGATAAGTTTGAAAAATCATTGACATTGCCTCTCAATAAATTTTAAATAATAATAATTTGATGTCTTTTAGTGATTCTGTTACAGGTGTTTTATATATTGATAACAGGCATTATTGAAAACCATTTTTGGCTTTTTAGCCAATAGATATACAGAAAATCAAAAATTCTGATTACTGCTTGAGGAATACCTAGTTTTTAGAAATTTCTACAACTCAACACCACCCTATCATTGCATGTTTCATCTTACTCTGTTATAAAAAGAGCAAGCTTTTTTTGTTTTTTGTTTGTTTGTTTCATTTGAGACTAACAAATAACTTTTAAAAGTCAACAAGGCCAGCAGGCCTTATGCATTAGAAGTCTGCAATTAAACACCTCCAAGATCTGGCCTCTATTCTGACACAGGTACATGCACGAAACAAAGGACTTTCTGATAAAAGTGCAAAAAGGTCACTAATAACCTACGTAAAACATAAAACATACATCAGCACTTGAAAGGGCCTTGGTGAGTTCACAGTCCATAATGTATTTTTTTTAATGGCCAGTTGACTAAAACAACCACAGACATTCTGAATTACATATGGGTTACAGAAAAAATCCCATTTGAAAAGTGTTGTATCTTGCATTGAAAAGATCACTACCAGGACGCTACTGAAAAAAGCTGGTCAGTTTCCACCATCATTTCATGGGGATAATGTCCACTGCTCCACATGTCATGGTGATTTTATCAAACACTGAAGAACATTTTTCACTAAGTTCATCTAATTTGAAAAACATCTCAATAGCTTAGATAATTCTACCAGTAAAACCCTATGATGTGTATTTAGAGATGCTAAGTTAGAATAAATATGAAAATAATTAAAATTATACTTGAAATAAAAGGCCATTCAAAATGGTAAGATATAACAATAATATATGAAGTTACAAAGACATAATTTCTAAACATCACATAACAACAAAATACTTGCTACTTATTATGTCATGTTGGTATTTTCTACTCTAATTCTATTATGCATCTATACATTTGTCCAATCATTTGGAATGTCTTGAAAGATAGTCATTTTGGGATGGAGGAAGAGTTGAACTAAAATGAAAGGCCTGATAAATATTGCTATAAAAATTTTAGTTTCCATGACATCTGGTTAGCAGTCCACCGTCATAAGTTGGTGTCAGCTAACTTATAGTTAAAATACTTAAACTGAAAAGAACATCTCTCAACAATTCTAAAAACTAAGATTAATAGTGGTAATATCTTTACCATTCTTCTGAAACTAATGATGTTGGGCTAAGAAAAACAACAGGTGGTCTGCAATGTAGACAGATTAGTCCTATCCATCTGAAAATTAAGAAGGTATTTTAAGATTTCTTGATCAACTGCCATCATATTTATGGCCTGTTCCACCAACATTTGGATGGCCATAATTATATCGGGTATCAATAGAAGGTGCTGGTTCTTGGGATCCATAGTGCAGTGCTCTTATATCACCATCTCTTCCTATTTTGGCATTAGTACCCAAAACCAGAAAGTTGCAGTGGGATTGGGTTGGGGGAGGACAGGGCAGGGAGGGCTGGCATGTAACACATTACATCCCGCCAAAATCTGTTAAAATGAGGTATATAGTAGGAGAGAGAGGAAGATGGTGAAGAAATGAACTTACAGTATTAGGAATAGTAGCTTTTCATGCTTGTGAAATAACAAGGTTTGGGACATAAGAGACCTACTTACTATTGAGAGCAAAGTCAGATTGCACAGATGTGCCCTGGTCTCCAGCTGCTGGGAGGACCGCACACCAGCGTGTCACCCAGCTGGAGCAACATGAAGTGGATTTAATCAGCATGAATGGGCTTTAACCGGGCAAGAAGTGGATAGTAAGAAAACAACAGGTGTTATCTGCTTGTAAACATGCCATTAGATAGCTCTAAGCTAATCCAGAGTGTTGAGCCAATAGAAAACAAATATAAAGGTGGAGCCTATATAAAAATACTACAGAGAACATGGGATAAGAACATTTTTAAAAGGAGAGCAAAAGATAAATATATTGCTATTAAAACAGGTGAAAACAGGGATTTTAAATAAAATTCACAAAGCCGTGATCCCTATCATATAGGACAAGAAGGAAGAAACAGCTTAAAATAAAAGTAAGAACTTGGAGAAAAAAAAAAAAAAAAGGAAGCATAGTGGATAAAGAAAAAAATGAAGTAAGGATGATAAATGACGCTGGAAAATTACAATAGTGAAATGAATGACAAACTTTAAAAAATAGGAGTTGTGTTTGAAATCCATAGCAACAATAGAGGTAAGCTTGCTGCAAGAAATCTTCTGATATTTGATTTCACATGTTTTTAAATCTAAAATGTCACAAAACATAAGGAAAACTTAAGAGTAAATTCTGTGTTCTACCAAAAAGACACACGCACTTGTGTGTTCATCTCAGCACTATTCAGAATAGCAAAGACATGGAATTAACCTAGGTACCCATCAGTGGTGGACAGGATTAAGCAAATATGGTCCATATATACCATGGAATACTACACAGCCATGAAAAAGAATAAAATCATGTCCTTTGCAGCAACATAGATGCAGCTGGAGGCCACTATCTTTAGTGAATTAGTGCAGGAACAGAAAACCAAATACTGTGTATTCTCATTTATAAGTGGCAGCTAAGCACCAGGTACACATGGACATAAAGATGGAAACAACAGACCCTGGGGGTCACTAGACGGGAGAAGAGAGGGAGGGAGGAAAGGGCTAAATGTATTGGGTACTATGCTCACTACCTGGGTGACAGGATCATTCATACCCAAAACTCAGCATCCTACACTATACCCATGTAATAAACCTGCACATGTACTCCCTGAATCTAAAATAAAAATGATATTATGAAAGAGGGAAACATGTCTATAAAAATGTGAAAAATTTCAACATAATTAATGCATAACACCTCTTGCATATCGTTTTAAAGGAAAAAAAAGGAGCAAACACTTTAATTTAAAAAATAATGGATAAAGAAGAGAAAGAGATGAGGAAAAAAAAAAAAAAACTATGGCTGGGCACGGTGGCTCATGCCTGTAATCCCAGCACTTTAGGAGGTGGAGGCAGGCAGATCACAAGGTCAGGAGTTCAAGACCAGCCTGGCCAACACAGTGAAACCCCGTCTCTACTAAAAATAAAAAAAAATTAGCCGGGCGTGGTGGCAGGCACCTGTATCCCTGCTACTCGGGAGGCTGAGGCAGGAGAATCACTTGAACCCGGAAGGCAGAGGTTGCAGTGAGCCAAGATCATGCCATTGCACTCCAGCCCAGGTGACAGTACGAGACTGCATCTCAAAAAAAAAAAAAAAAAAAAAAACCTAAAGCAACATTGATATATAGTGTACATTTTTATTTTTTTATCATTTAAAAACTAATATTCAAAGTGGGTTATTCCATTGTAAAATGA